CCATTTTGTTTCACAGTTTCTAGATTTATGGAATTTTCACCTAGAGACGTTTAGCAAAATCTATGATTACTCCTTATCCAAAGCTCTTGGAACTGTGACAGATCATTCTAGATTCCAACCCACACTTTCCCTGTTAGCACCTGCATCTCTGTGGCTTGACTTCTCCAGTCCTGGAAATGTTTTAACCCTTTTTTCTCCTTCAGGGGACAAGGACTAGTGAACAGGACTGGGAGAGGGAGAACAGCCTAGAGAATGGGTTAGGGGAGGAAGACGATGGGATGAGGGAAAGGCCCAGGATTAAAAGGCAAGCTCAGAGGAAGCTGCAGCCATGTCGGTGGAGGTTATTTTTCTTAAGATCTACCATCTAAGCAGCAAGAGGGAGATCTGTTCAAACCGTGAGATGGTCTGGCATGAGCTTCTGATTCAGCCACTCCTTCCCCTTAGCTCATTCTGTGCAAGCTCATCTTGTGGCAGGGGTACAAGGAGGTTCTGATGAGCTAATGCTCCGAGAAACTCTGGGTAGGAAGGAACCATCTTCCTTGCCAGGGTATTACCCCATTCTTTGAAGGATTAGAAGAAGGACCAAAATCAGGACTGATGCAACATAAGTGGGCCACATGGTAGCTTTGCTTGGACACTGTGGCATGCATGTCTCCGCCCCTCTCAAGGTTTCCTTTCTGTCCTTCCTTCCTTGTTTGATACCAGTCACGTGTTGGTGGTGCTGACTGTAGGGAGGTGATTGTGACATTCCTGATATGTTGGCTGAAATTATTCCCAGGAGCCCTTTGCTGTAGTGGCCAAATCAATCCCTCCGTCTGGGTAAGAAGTTGGTTTTGAGGACTCCGGAGCTGGGTGGAAGAGCCTTGGAGCAAAGGCAAGTCAGAGGTTCTTAAGGAGAGTCATGAATCAAGCTCTGGGGAGGTCATATCCGGAGATCTAGAGGTAGGATAGGAACCGGAAGACACTGTGGATGAGTTTGCAGCTGGGTAATGATTGGGAGGGGACCTGGTTCGGAAGAAGTGAAGAACACTCAAGGCCACTGCTGGGAAAAGCTTTGGGAGGTCCATGCTTCCCTTCTTTGGGGTAAGCTTGGGGATAGTCGAAGGCAGAGTGGGCAAGTTTCCTTTTCTCTCTTTGTTTCTTTATCAACAAATGGAAAGATCCACTGTGAGCATTAAATGACACAACTCATGTAAAGTGCCTAATACAGTGCCTAGTATATTGTCAATATTCAATAAATTAGCTTTTGGGTTTTTATTTTGCTGAACAAAGTCTTCACAGGTCATAATAAAATTCTCTGCTGTTTGCTTGCTTACCAACAACACATGATGATATTTGCTTAAGAACAAAGGAAAAAGCCGGAAACATTTTCTCAGTCGTGGACTGATATTTTTTTTTAGGATCTGGATCAGTAGGTCTGTGTCAGTTTGCATAGCATATAAACATGCACTGTTGAGTTTGGGGAAAGATGAAAAATCTAGTTTCAAGTTTGATCATTTGAAAGAATTCTCCAAGAAGGTAGCACTTGTCTGGCTATCCTCACACAATAGTTTGATACACATCTCGAGAAGGGAATGGAAGAAGCCCGATCCTGTATTTTTGAATGCTAGGATGCCTTGGTGGGCATAGGAAGGTGGGGAGTGATAGGAGAAGGGGTGTGAAGAGGGTTAGATTGTGAGAGGATGCTGCCCATGAAGTCATCCATTACAGTGTTCTGTAGCTGCAAACCACCCCAAATTCTATTACATGGTTAAAACATTTTGGGAACTCTTGCTCAATAATAAGCAGCAGCATGATAAAATTTTTTTCTTGAAGCCGTATCTCTCTCATCATCCTCTTCAACCTGGATTTGTTCCCATGAACTTTGCTTCTCTGGAGGCCCAAAGAAAGCAATGTATCTCAGAGGCTGGAAAACTAGACTGGAGTCAGGGAACAGCCCTCCCTGGCTGGTTGCTTGTGTGTACCCTTGTCTCCCCAGCCCAGGCTTGGCTTATTGCTAAGTCACAAACCCAAGAAGCTGTGGGCAGGAGAGGCTGAACGGGTCACCCTGGCCCCCAACTCCCATCTACAGTGGACTGAGGCATTTGCTGATTGCTGCCAAGACCAACAGAGAGCATCAGTGGTAGGAAATATGAAGTCATGGTGGAAAGGGTCCATGGAGCAGAAACTAAAGGCACAAATGGCTCATCCACTCTCTGGGGTATAGATGCATCTGCTCCAGGAGCCACAGTCCAGTGACCAGATGCCCAAAGGGGAGGCCTTCATTCCTTTGGTGGTGGGAGAATGGGGTCAGAGGTCTAGGAGGCTTAGTACACAGTGAATGCTTCTAGAACTTGGATGTGGAGGATGATTTGATATCAGCAATCCTGCACTCTAATAGGAACTTATGTACACTCAATGGTCTTCTATTAGGTTATTAAAAAATAGTTGTGGTTTTTGCCATTAAAATTAATACTTACAGACATCCATTTTAGTTATATAATCCAATATGTAAAATAACTTTCCTAGGTAAAAACCCTCATATTTGGACCTGGTTGCATTTATTGATGTTGTTCCGTTTTCTTTCCTTTTACTGGTACATTTGTTTTAAGTGATGTACACGTAAGATTAAAGACTAGGAGTGGCCAGGCATGGTGGCTGTAATCTCCAATACTTTGGGAGGCTGATGCAGGATGATCCCTGAAGGCCAGGAGTTTGAGAACAACCTGGACAACATGGCAAGACCCCACCTCTACAAAAAATAAAAATATTATCCAGGCATGGCGGCACATACCTGTAGTTCCAGCTGCTTGGGAGGTTGAGGTCCCAGCTACTCAGCTCACTGCATTGTGGATGCAGAGAGCTGTGATCACAAACCACTATACTCTAGCCTGGACAACACAGTGAGGCTTTGTCTCAAAAAACAATATAATAAAAGACTAGGAGTGGTGTTTCTTTTTTTATTTCATTTATTCATGCATTCATTCAATACAACTTTATGAGCACTCACTATACCTGAGTCTAGACCCTTGGAAGACAAAGTGAAAGAACATAGGTTCCTCCCTTGGGGAAAAGAGAGGGGAAGATGAACACCCTTTAATGGAGTTTTGTTTGATGCCTAGTGATAGATGAAGAGAGAAAGACGAGGAGCTCCAAAATTTTCCAGTGTGGTCATGGGAGACTTCTCAGGAGGTGAGATGCTTGAACTGAGACTCCCAAGATAGGCAGGGAGACATGGGGAGGGAAGTGGGAATTAGAGATAAGCTATGCCAGACAGATGAAAACCCACACATTAAGGCACTGAGGCTTTCAGAACACAGGCTATTCCAGGATGGTGAGTAATTATAGATATGAAGTGTCAGAGACAATGGAAACCGTGATGAAAAATGAGGCTACATAGGAATGAGGGTGCCAGATCACAAACAGTCTTATATGCCATGCAAAGAAGGGTGCTTTTTATCCTATCAGCAGTAAGGAGCCAAAAAATAATCTTAAGTACATGGGAATGGAATGACCATATTTACATATTAGAAAGATGACTTTGGTATCATGCAGGGGACACATTGTAGGGGACTTAGGCTGGAGCCAGGAAGACCAGTTGGGAGCATTTGCAAAATTCTCAGCTAGGAAACTGACAGCAGTGTTACACAATGGTGATGGAGAGGGGGCAATTGACAAGAGATTTGGGGAGGTTGAGGTCAACTAGACAATTTTTAATTATATGTGAGTGTAAGGAAGGGGAGCATTTGGGGTGGCTCTTGGTTTTCTGACTTGGGCAAAAGGCTATTGGTTCTAGTCTCACAGACAGGGAGATCAAGAAAGCAAGCAGCTGGGAAAAGTAAAATGGTTAGAAGTTTTGACATGCTAAGTCTGCAATGCCCATGTGAGGTCCATGTGAAAATGTTTAGCAGGTAGCTGGGTCTATGAGTATAGAACCCATGAGAGTAGTCTGGGATAGGCCTGTCACTGAGAAGTCATTAGCATGTGGATGGAGGTTAAAGCCTCTGCATGGTTGAGATGCCCATGGGAAATGATGTAGAGTGGTTAGAAAACAGAGCCTTGGGAAACACCAAAATTTGAGAGATGGATAGAGAAAGAGAAGTTCATCAAAGAGGAGCAATCAGAGGAGAAGCAAGAGGAGTAGAAACAATGGAGAGTGTCTGAAATGGAAGTAGAAGAACATTTAAAGAAGGATATTGTAGGTAATAGGGTAAACATAGAACAAATAAGAAGATTGAAAAACAACCTTGTGTTTGGAAACTAGTAGGTCATGTGTGACTTGGTGAGAGCTGTGTTAGGAAAGAGAAGGAGGAAACAAATCCAGTGAGCTGAAGGATCATTGAGAGATGAGAAAAAAGATACCTTGCTGGGTGCGGTGACTCACACCTGTAATCCCAGCACTTTAGGAACCCAAGGCGGTGGTTACCTTGAGCTCAGGAGTTCAAGACTACGCTGGCCAACATGGTGAAACCCTGTCTCTACAAAAAATAAAGTTATCCAGGTGTGTTGGTGTGCACCTGTAGTCCTAGCTACTCAGGAGGCTGAGGTGGGAGGATCACTTGAACCCAGGAAGTTGAGGCTGTAGTGAGATTGTGCCATTGCTCTCCAGCCTGTACAACAGAGTGAGACCCTGTTTCAAAAGAAAACAAGCAAACAATAAAGATACCTTAAATATAGGCAACACTGAAGAGAAATAAGGTAGTGTGAATGAAGAGAAAGAGAATATTATTTAGAGGACATGGAAAGTGAATAGACTCTTAAGGTAGAAAACACTTGAGGGTGTTAATACAATGAGAGAAAGAAGCCAATGGGGAAAGAGAAAAATATGCAAGACATTGGGATCAATTGTGTGCAAGATGTTTTGGAAGAAATGGGCAAGAGTGCATGGATTAATCTTGGATACAAGGGAAGGTACAATTTGTGTTAGAGACCTGGGGAGAAAGGCAAGACTGCAGGTAGGGTTGGGCACTAAGTGAGGACGTTTACATCTGATTGCCTCTATCTTTTTTTTTTTTTTTCAGTGAAAGAGAAAACAAGGTCATTTGTATCAGAAATGATGGCAGAAGAGGCTTAAAAATTTGGCATTGTCACTGAGAAGAATGAAGGATGGAGCTGATTAGAAAATTGCAGGATTGCTGAGCACTGTGAGAGGTTTGTCTGAAACTGGCTGTGAGCAGACTAGCGGTATGTGGTCACTCTCATGTGGGAGGGAAGCAGACCTTTTGTTGGCCTGGTCCGTAGGTGCGGTTGGAAGTGGAATGATGGGAAGCACTGTTGGAGTTATTGGCATAAGAATGACCATGGGCAAATGGGCTCGGTTGGGAAGAAAATGACCCTAGGAGTGAGGTGGCAAACTGAAACAAAAGGGAGGGGTCCAGAATGTGGAGATGATGATGAGGTGAGAGAATGGGCAAAGAGAAAAAGCTGGAAAGATAGGACATTGTGTCAGAGACCTCAGGTTTTAAAAGGTCAGAGGTAGGACTATTTTGGGTGATGAAAAATCCAAGACGTGTCACGAGAGTGAGTTGGGAAGAACATAGCCAGCGAAAAGTATTCAAGTAACGGTCAAGGAACCAGAAAGTCTTAGTGTTCATTGGACACTGACCCCTTCTAGGATGGTTGCAGAGGTTGGTTTCTAAAGCAACTGTGAGGCAGCAAGTGTGAGATGGAAGAACCCGAGAGCTCAAAGAGATAACACTTATTTTAGGGATGAAGACTAACCCAACTCTCAAGGTAGAATTCTTGATAAACACGGTCTCCTAGGCAAAGCAGATGAAGGGCAGGGGGGGTCCGTTCCTCTTTGTTTTATTACCAAGTTCTGCTAGGCCTGAACTGGTGGAACTCGGCTTATTTTAACAGTGAAGGGGCAAAGTGAGTTATTTTCAGTATACAGAGAAGTGGAAACTTCGACAAGAAGAGTGTCAATGACTTGCCCAAAATGACACCACCAAAGTGCTGACCTCTGTCACTTCATCTCCCTCTTCCTTCCCCTTGGCTGCTTTCCTGCGTGTAACCTATTACAGCAGAGCCCGATCAGCATGGGCCTCCCTGTTGCGTGCCCTCTGGAGATTTGGCATTTAGATTTGATACAGGGAGGTGGAGGGGAATTTTCCCACTTGGCAGAATGTGTGAAAATCAGGAGGGAATGTTATTCCTGCACAGCAACAAGCAGTATCAAATCAGTACTTCTTTCTTTCATCGGACTCTGTTGCTATTTATGTAGATTTAACAGTTCCATAACAATACCTTTTGCTTGGAAAGGTCTTTCTCTTACCAAAAATGCAAAAAGAAACCCGCTATATTTTTCATTTCAGAAGTAGACACCACTGGGCCAGGCGCAGTGGCTCACGCCTGTAATCCCAGCACCTTGGGAGTCTGAGGCGGGCGGATTACAAGGTCAGGAGATCGAGACCATCCTGGCTAACATAGTGAAACCCGATCTCTATTAAAAATACAAAAAAAAAAAAAAAAAAAAGAAGAAGAAGACACCATTGATTATTTTTCTACTTTTATTATTTTTAAATTAATGAACTACTTGTGCATTTACCTCCCACCAACCTGACTCCTACCTAGATGTGAGGTCCTTAAAGACTGAAATTCTTCTGTGTCTTGATTGTAGAATCCTCTAAACTCTTCCAGTTCTTAGCACATGGCAAGTGTGTTTGTTGAATGAATAGATGAAACTCTTTTTCCCACCATTCTAAAGTGGGTGCTTTGAGGCTTTTGCATAACTGTGGCAGGAATGCTTCACACTAAGCCCTTGTATCTTGTTCATGGCTCCCTGTGATAAATGCAACAGAGATGGTAAAAATAAAAAAGATCAGGGCCCAAGACACCCAGGTTTAATCTTGGCTTTACCACTAGCTATGTAGTGTCAAGTAAATCTTTGAATCTCTCTGAATCTTCATGTGCAAATGGAAAGAAATAATACATCCTTTGTTTGGTTGGGAGGAAGATGCAATGTGATTACATGTGGCCTGGTAACTGATATATAGGAACGGATCAATTAAAGAGAGATTCCTTCTTGACCCCCATCCATAAATTTATCCATCTACCCATGTCCCAGGGCATGTATCTCTGAGATGTTGAACTAATTAAAAAGTGTCTTCTGAAGCTGTGGAACAGCTTTCTACTTGGTACAAAATTAACCTGCCATTGATTTTGTAAGTGGGACCTAGTGCAAGCCGTGTAGCTCAGATGCCCATGTGGGTGAACTGAGGTGGAAGAGAGCAGGGCATCCATAAATCCTAACCCGTCCTGTCACTAGGCAGCAGGTTGGTTAAGAACACAGTGGTGAGGGCATCCTTCCTGAAATGGGTAGTGGTGGTGGTGACCAGGAACCTGGAGTATCAAGAATGAGGACAGGAAAGACTTTTTTTTTTTTAAACACTCATCATGTTCCAGGTACTGCTCCAGTTGTTTTCTACTTGTGACATATTTTAATTATTCAATAAAACTCATTCAGGCTGGGAACGGTGGCTCCCACCAGTAATCCCAACACTTTGGGAGGCTGAGGTGGGCAGATCATTTGAGGTCAGAAGTTTGAGACCAGCCTGGCAAACATGCTGAAACTCCATGTCTACTAAAAATACAAAAATTAGCCAGACGTGGTGGCGCATGCCTGTAATCCCAGCTATTCGGAGGCTGAGGCACGAGAATCGCTTGAACCTGGGAGGCGGAGGTTGCAGTGAGCCAACGTTGCGCCACTGCACTCCAGCCTGGGCGACAGAGCGAGCCTCCACCTCAAACTCAAACAAAAACAAAACCCCTTCAAGGATTTGAGAAAGCCAGAATTTCAGAGAAAAGAAATTCTGGGTGTGCCAGCTTTAATACTACCCCTGAGTCAAAAATTATGTAAGTATAGATTGATTTGCTCAAAACTGCTTTATGCAAAAAGAAATGAAAGGAGCTGGAGCCACTGTAGATGGATGGAGGAGTTCCAGGGCAGCCTCTGGACTAACAATAGACTATAAGCTGCACCAAAGTGGGGGTCCCATCTGTTTGACCCATCCTTGCACACCCCTTAACAGACGATAGGTGCTGGATACAGGATTTGATGTTTGGAGCTATAGCGGCCATGGGGAAAAGTGAAGAGAATTTCAGGAACTATGGCCCAGAGCCCTAACACATTTGAGCTGCTATTTAATAAATTAATTCACCCTGGAACCACCTACCTTAAGACTTCTTGCCCTGGTTTTTAAAAGTCATTTTTTCCCAATTTTTAAAAAAATGCACAGAAACATCCTAACTGAGCTTATCATTCAGTGTGAGCCTGGGCTTCATTTCTGTCCCTTGGTTGGATTATCTGAATCATACTCCTAGATAGGGCAACACCTTATGAGGCTGGTGGCAGCACCCATTTCTGAGGGCTACACTATAAAATAAGCTGGGACCCTTGGGTTGCTCTCCCCCACTGCTAAACAAACTCAAGCATTTCACATGAGCATTGGATTCCCAGCAGTGCAGGTGGCAGAGAATGGGCCTGGCAGTTTGGTGTTTGATTTGTCAGGGTGCCACATGGAGCCAGGTGCCAGGGCCGTGTTACACGATCTGAGTATCTTGCTGACCTGCCTGCTGCTGTGGCTCATGGCAGGCCGGGGTTTAAGAAGCATAGTTTGCATTTTTCCCTCTACTGGAGAGTTTTATGAAGAAAGACACCTGAACTGGTCCACTGGGCATTTTCCCCCTCTTTTTTATGTGGGATCTGCTGTCTCTCCAACCTAAACTGGGAGGTGGGGATGGGGGATGGCCTTGGTGTGTTCTGAAACTTTATTAACTATTCATCGGGAAGAATGTGATTTGGATGCATATATTCTTAGGTGAGACACTCAGGAGGGTTTGTGACTCTGGTGTGTGTACATCTGTATTTCATGGAGCTGCAGAAACTAACTTCCATTCCTCAAACACAGTATCCTGACATGGGGCTGGCTGCCTGGGAAGAGCCATTCCATCCAGTAGCTGCTGGATCTCCCCTTTATTTTCTCTGTGGTGACCCAAAATAGTTGGCATAAAGTGATTAGATAGGAAGACGTAAGAGGTGTCTAAGCAACGGCTCCTAGGAGAAGCAATTGTCATGTTAATATTGGACAAATGAGAGCTGCATTTTCAATTCATTCTCTCAGAAGAAAGGAACTCTCCCTGCTCAGTCTTTGTTGTTGCCCAGTGAGCTGAAGGTCATTGGGTTCTACAGAGAGTAGCAGGCGGTATGCAGGTGGCAGAGACAGGGAGCTGCAGCACCCGCAGGTGCACCCTGACTTGAAGGAGCACATTGGAGGGAAGCAAAGCAGCAAAGTCTTCCCCAGGAATCACCTGCAAAAATTAAGACATAAGCATGGTGCCCAGGAGGAAAGGTCCATCTGCACTGAACCAGTACCAAGACAAGTGGTTTCACTTTATTGATTATCAGTTGTCACAAGCTTTTTGGGGAGAAGAAACAGGGCATCATCTTTGGAACCTTCAGTATCTCCTCTATGCCTCATTGACATGAAGTTGTACAGTGAGTCTGGAATTCTCAATTCAACTTTGGGTCCAGCCAACTGTAATCAACCTTCTTATCTTGAGAGAATTCCAAGATTCAGTTCCCCTTTGGCTACTATTGGATTTGGATATCTTCATCGTGTCCACCTACCAAGTCTTTTTTACTTTTTAGGTTTTTATTTTGAAACAACTTTAAACTTCCAGAAAAATTGCAAACATGGTACAAGGAAATTTTTTTCATGAGCCGTTTGAGAGTGAGTGGCCCATGTGATACCACATCCCTGCAAAAACATTCCTGTGTAATTCTACAAATGGCATAGCTTCCTACACGGCAACATAGCTCCATCCTACGTGGCTATAATGCAGCCATCACAACCTGGAAATTAACATTGATAACTTATTGCCACTTAATATTCAGAGCTCAATCTCCTTCACCCATTGTTCCAATAATATCTCTTGTAGCCAAAAGATCCAGTTGTCATTTATTCATCATGTTTCATTTGAACCATAACAGTTTCTCAGACTTTCCTTGACTTTCATGGCATTGACAGTTTTAAAGGCTGTAGGCCAATTATTCTCTCTGATATCTCTCAATTTCAGTTTGTCTGATGATCCCTAATTATTAGATTTAGGGGATGCATCTTTGGCAGGGATGTAACACGATGCTGTGTCCTTGTTAGATTCTGGCACATGGTACGCGAGGTGGGCCTGTCTGAGTCCTCCCTCATAAAGTTATCCCTTTCCCTTTTTCTTTTGGTGGAGAGGTATTTTGAAACTATGAAAGTGTTCTGTTTCTCATACAATTTTCAATTAATTTATATCAATATGTGGACTTGAAGATTCCTTTTTTCTTCATTATCCATATGCCATTACTTCATTATTCATTTTGTTGCTCAGATTATCCCAGATTTGGCAAGTGGAGCCTCCTCCAAGTTGACTTTTGTGACTTTTTTGACATATCCTCATCATTTCTTTTTATTTTTTTTATTTTTATTTTTATTTTTTTTTGAGATGGAGTCTTGCTCTGTCACCCAGGCTGGAGTGCAATGGCACGATCTTGGCTCACTGCAACCTCTGCCTCCCAGGCTCAAGTGATTCTCTTGCCTCTGCCTCCCGAGTAGCTGGGATTACAGGCATGCGCCACCATGCCCAGCTAATTTTGTACTTTGAGTAGAGACAGAGTTTCTACATGTCGGTCAGGCTGATCTCGAACTCCCAACCTCAGGTGATCTGCCCACGTCGGCCTCCCAAAATGCTGAGATTACAGGCGTGAACCACAGTGCCCAGCCTGTCCTCATCATTTCTGAGCACCTCCTTGATTTATGGAACAATGGATCAGGTTCTTCTTGTACTTTCCCTGTCCCATACCTGAAATCAGCCATTTCTCCGAGGAGCTTTGGTTCCATTTAGTGGAGAATAACACGTAGGAACAGATCTGGGAACTAAGTGTGCTCATTGCTGTTGGGATGTTGCCGCTCCCAGGCCCTCTCAGCAGAATCATGTGCATAGACATATGTCGCAGTGTATGCCACACACACACACACACACACACACACACACACGAACATACATGTACTAACATTTACATCTATATTTATTTCTGTATTTATCTATGTGTATTGAAAAGCTCACGTTTCCATTATTATCTTCATTTTCAGTCCAGCACCTGGGGTTCATTCTAGTTTTCTCCCTTCCTACAGATGGTACTCCTTTTCCCACGGTGAGGAATTTGGCTTTTGTTATCTTTAGTCCATTTACTTATTTAGTTAATCCCCCTGCAGATAACCCAATCCCTCATCACTGTGGTCACCTT